AATGAAATAAAGGCTGAAATGTTGGACTCGTAACCAGAAGACTCCTAGAAGAAAACCTAGCAGTAGAATCTTGGACATTTCCTATAGCAATATTTTTTCTGATGTATCTCCTCGGGCAAGGGAAACAAAGGCAGAAATAAACAAATGGGACACATCAAACTAAAACGTTTTACACAGCAAAGGAAACCATCGGCAAAATGAAAAGATAACCCGCTGAAAGGGAGAACATATTCACCAATAATACATCTGATAAGGCTTAATATCCAAAATTTATAAAGAACTTATAAAACAACACCAAGAAAACAATTCAATTTAAAAATGGGCAAAGGATCTAAATAGACACTTCTCCAAAGAGGACACACAGAAGGCTAAGAGCCCTATGAAAAGATGCTCAATGTCACTAATCATCCAAGAGATGCAAACTAAAATGACAATGAGGTACCACTCACACCTGTCAGAATGGCCATTGTCAGTAAATCACAAATGACAAATGGTGGTGAGGACGTGGAGAAAAAGGAACCCTTGTGCACTGAGTGGGGATGCAGACTAGAACAGCCACTGTGGAGAACTGTGGAGGTTCCTCAAAAAATTAAAAATGGAATTGCCTTATGGCCTAGTCCAGCCGTGGGCAAACTACGGCCCGCGGGCCGGATTCGGCCTGTTTGAAATGAATAAAACTAAAAAAAAAAAGACCGTACCCTTTTATGTAATGATGTTTACTTTGAATTTATATTAGTTCACACAAACACTCCATCCATGCTTTTGTTCCGGCCCTCCGGTCCAGTTTAAGAACCCATTGTGGCCCTCGAGTCAAAAAGTTTGCCCACCCCTGGCTAGTCATTCCACTTCTGGGCATTTATCTGAAAAAACCCGCAACACTAATTGGAAAGAATACGTGCACCCCTATGTCCATCGCAGTGCTATTTACAATAGCCAAGGTTCAGAAGCAGCCCAAGTGCCCCTAGAAGATGAGTGGATAAAACAGCTGTGGTACATTTGCACAATGGAATACTACTCAGGCGTAAAATTGGAAGAAAATTTTACCCAGTGCGACAGCTTGGAGGGACCTGGAGAGCATTACGCTGAGTGAAATAAGCCAGTCAGAGGAAGACAGGTACCATCTGGTCTCACTCATATGTGGAATCTAATGAACAAATTGAACTAACAAGCAAAATACAGACTCATAGACAGAGAACAGCTGACAGGGAGGTTGGGGAAGGCAGGGGAATGGAGGGACTGAGCATAAAAGGAAAAACAGAGAAGGAACTCATGGACACTGGCAACTGTGTGGTGATTATGGCATGTAGGGGGGGTGTAGGGGGGACAAGTGGTGATGGGAAAAAATAAAGAGAAAAAATAAATTCCTATCATATACATATGTGTGTGAATATATATATATATATATATATATATATATATGTATTATATATATATACACACACACTTTGAATAATTATAAAGGCAGCATTTATTAAAATACATTTCCTTTTCAAAATGGAATAGAAGTCAGTGTGCATACGTTTTTGGGACACCTGTATATGTGATAGGAATTTCTGAGTAATTGCCAACTAACTAGATGTTGACACTTGACTAGTGTGTTCCTGGCCCTGTGCCACTGCCTCCTGGGACAGTGGCCACCGGCCCCACCTTGGCCTTCCCCTGCGGGCACTGTGGAGGGGCGGCACACAGCACAGCTCTGGCCTCCTGGAGCGTACGGTCTTGGATGGGTGCGGCTGGGGAGCAAGACTTTAATCAAACAAGCAGGCACAGCACCAGATCATCAGAACGGTGGCTGATGCCTGGAGGAGTGACCAACAGCGCTATTAAAACCTGGGCCTATTGAGGCAGCATGGAGGGGCCTGGAGAGTATCATGCTGAGTGAACTAAGTCAGTCAGAGAAAGACACGTATCACATGATCTCACTCACATGAGGAATCTAATGAACAAAATAAACTGATGGACGGAGGGGACCCAGAGACATGGGAGCAGGGAACAGAGTGCGGGATCTCAGAGGGAAGGCGGGGGAGGGCGGGTGGGTGGGAGGTGATCAACCAAAGACCTTGTATGCATCTATGCATGGCCCATGGACACAGTGGGGTGGTGAGGGCCTGGGGCAGGGGTGGGGGCAGGCTGGAAGGGGTCAATGGAGGAAAAAGGGGACATATGTAACACTTTCAACAGTAAAGAATTATTAAAAACAACAGAATAGAAACAGAAAAACAAAACAAAAAAACACCTGGGCCCAGGCATCTGAGCTGGGAAGGGCGCTCCGGAGAGGGTTCCCCGAGGAAGTGACATTTAACCCGAGGTCTGAACGATGAGCCAGTTAACGAGGGGGAGAGGGTGGGACAGCATTGAAGCCGGGAGTTGGTTCCTCTCCCAGACATGGAGGTGCAGCGCTTGAATCCTGGTTCTGCCGCTTGGTATGTGTTAGCAGGCAAGTCACTCACCAGTCTTCGCCTTAGCTTCCTCACCTGTAAAACCTCATAGGGCTGCTGTGAGTGTTAAATACCTGGCGAGGAACGCTCTCTAGTTTATTGCATATCGAGTACTGATGTCTAGTGTGGTGTTATACCAACTAGGGGGGTGAAAGCGTCCGAGCCTTTGCCCTAGCTGTGTGGCTCAGTAGTTGGAATGTTGGCGCTTGCACCAAAGGGTCACGGGTTCGATCCCCGGCCAAGAGCATGTACCTGGGTTGCAGTTCTATCCCTGACCATGGTTGCCCCAGTTGGGGCACCTGCAGGAGGCAACTGATCAATGCGTCTCTCTCACATTGATGTCTCTCTCTCTCTTTCTCCCTTCCCCCCTTCCACTCTCTTTAAAAATCAATGGAAAAAATATCCTTGAGTGAGGATTAACAACAATGAAAAAAGTCCGGGCCTTTACTGTGAAGGAAGAGACGTAGGTAAATTGAGTGATTTCCCAAAATCAAAGAATTAGTTAATGGAAGATCTGACCTGGGACAATAATTTTTTAAAAATTCATTTTGTGCTTTTCCCCCTTCATTGAGTCATTGCTTCTCTGTTCATTTACACAGCGAGTGATGCATTTGAGTATTTAGAACTGAAAATGGCTCTGTTATTCATCAGATGGTTTTCCCAGTTCCTAGGGATTGTTTGAAAATGGTTTGGGCGTGGCTCTGGGCGACTTGAGTTTGGGGATCAGATTCGGGGTCTTTTGGAGGTTGCTGGTGTCCCCTGACAGTAGCGGGGTGCAGTTGCAGGGAACTAAGGTGATTTCCAGCTGATGGTCTTTCTGGCAGCTGTCGCCTTACCCGTGTGGGCCTGCCCTCAGTCGCGTGGAGGGAGTGTGGTTGGTGTTAGTCACGTACATCGAGCACCACCTCTCCGTGCAGGTGGTGTGGTGTGTGGGAGCTTCCGGAAGCTGCTTGCCGGGCAGGGGCGGAGCACAGCTCCCTGGAGAATAATTCATCCAGAACTCTGAGGAGGCCCCAGGGTGATGTGCCACAGGCATGGCATGCTGTGAAGGGACCCCTTTATCATGCTCACCGTGGGTGGGGGGTGAGGTGGGTGTCACGGAGCAGGAATAGGGCTGTGGTGACCTTGAGGGGCCTGTGTTTGCCTAGAGGTACTTGTGCTCGGGGAAACTTACCGTCACTTCTGGTGGATCTGAGTCGGTGTCGTCATCATCGACATTGCGGGCTGGGATTCAGAAATGGAAACTCACACGTTCCCAGTTCATTTAAAGGAATTATTTGCTATTCTTCTAAAGGTAGATGCTCTACCCCCATCCTCTCCCCTGAAAGCTACAGACTACTGCCTTTCAGGTTAGAAAGAATGGGGTCTTCTGTGGTTATGCTTTATCTTCTTCAAAGCACGGTGACTTTATCAGCGCTGGTCCCTGCATTAGCAGCCAGTGTGATAGGTGAGGATCGGGGTTCAGGGTTTCACCTGACTTCTCTTCGGAGTTGGGACCAGGTCGGATCTTCTCGGACAGTTTGACCCTGGTGCTCCTTGTGGAGCTGTGGTTGATTAGAATACAGGTAAGGACTGTTTTAGATCTTTTTTTTTAATCCTCACCTGAGGATAGTTTTCCATTGGTTTTTAGAGAGAGTGGAAGAGAAAGGGAAAGAGAGAGAACATCCATGGAAGAGAAACACATCGATTGGTTGCCTCCTGCAGGAGCCCCAACCAGAGTCCGGGCCGGGGAAAAGCCTGCCACCGAGGTATGTGCCCTTGACCGGAATCGAACCCGAGACCCTTGCCGATGTTCTATCCACTGAGCCATACTGGCAAGGGCTGTTTATGGACTTTAGCGAGAGAAACAGCGATGTGAGAGAGAAACATCTATGGGACGATGCTCCAACCAGCTGAGCCACACCGGCCGGGCTGCCCAGCTCTCGTTCTGTGCAGGCGGCCCTGTCTGAGGAGCTTCACAGAGAAAGCGGAAGGCGTTCCTTCCTGTGGCTTCTGTGCCATCGGGCTGAGTGATCCCGCACCCGGCTACAGAGTCTCCCAGCTCTGTCTGAGGCCTGGGCGGCCTTCATCGGTTTAAAGGTGGCCACGTTAATTTCAGGCTGAGCGTCCCGTCGTCTTGTCCAGGTGAAACTCAGGCTGTAGAATGAATGTCCAGGGTTGTCCTCGCCAGGGCATTCTCAAACCATGTGCTTTTTTTCTCTTGAAAAGCAACTTTCATCCCATCTGCCCTTCCAGCTCAACTAAGGCAGCCCAGTGACTCCCAGGCCTGGCGGCAGCCCCCCCCCCACCCCCCCCCCCCGCCGCCCTGTTGTTCGCTGTTGGCTGCTTTACGCCTCTGGCTCCCACACAGCCGCTCCTGTCTCCCCTCCGCGCTGCGCCCAGAGCCTGGGGGGCGCCGGGGGTCTCGCTGTGGGGGCGCCGGGGGTCTCGCTGTGGGGGTGACGTGAGTCTCACTGTGGGGGCGCCGGGGGTCTCGCTGTGGGGTGACGTGGGTCTCGCTGTGGGGTGACGTGAGTGAACTTCTCTTGGAACTGTGTCCTGACTCTTCCCGTTTCTCTTCAGGCTGAAGATGGAGAGCGGCGTGCTCTGCCTCCTGCGCCTCAGCCTGAGGCCAGTGCTGCTGGGTGAGTGGAGGCCGGCGGCGGGCGGGGGCGTGTCATTTCTTACAGGCCCCCTGAGCAGCGGAACAGCCGTCGGGGGGTTCCGTTTCCCCTCGGTTTGCTGGAAATGGAAACCCTAAGCTGGAGCGGCACCGTCAGTGGGGACCGTGGTTTCAGAAGCCGCTGTCTGTCCTGGAAGGTCCAGGCTCCTTCCTGTGTGATACAGAGAAACCTCCCTCCTCCTGCCCTTCAAATCGGCATCTTTTTATTTATTTTTTATTTTTAATCCTCACCCGAGGATTTTTTCCCATTGATTCTTAGGGAGAGTGAAAGAGAGAGGGAGAGACAGAGGAATGTCGATGTGAGAGAAACACATCGATTGGCTGCCCCCTGCATGAGCCCTGACCAGGGCCCAGGCCGGGGAGGAGCCTGCAACCAAGGTATGTGCCCTTGACCGGAATCGAACCCGGGACCCGTTGGTTCACAGGCCGACGCTCTGTCCACTGAGCCACACCAGCCAGAGCTCAAATTGTCATCTTTAAATTCACCGCTGGTGTCAGATCAGGAAATGAAATCACCGAAGAAAGTCCCAGAATCCCTGTCGTTGCTTCGTGCTTCATCCAGGGTAGCCTTCTGTGGCTCCTCAGACACACCCAGCTCCTCCTGGTTTGGGTGGTTTCTGTGCCTGGAGCCTCTCCCCCGCCTGCCCGAGGCGCCTGTCCTCCAGGTCCCCACGCCTGCGGGCTGCCTCCGCCACAACGGCCTCCCTGCTGCAGGTGCCGAGAGCTCCGGTGCCCTTGCCCGTCTCAAGTGCCACCTTCCCATCGCGTCCCGTCTTTCTCACGGTCCCATGTCCCACCTTCCCTCGCGGCCCGTCTTTCTCAGGGTCTTATGTCCCACCTTCCCGTCGCGGCCCGTCTTTCTCAGGGTCCCATGTCCCACCTTCCCGTCGCGGCCCGTCTTTCTCAGGGTCCCATGTCCCACCTTCCCGTCACGGCCCGTCTTTCTCACGGTCCCATGTCCCACCTTCCCGTCGCGGCCCGTCTTTCTCACGGTCCCATGTCCCACCTTCCTGTCGTGTCCCGTCTTTCTCAGGGTCCCATGTCCCACCTTCCCATCGCGTCCCGCCTTTCTCAGGGTCTCATATCCCACCTTCTCGTCGCGGCCCGTCTTTCTCACGGTCCCTGGTGTCTCTGTGAGAACAGACGACCAGGCCCTGCTCCCATGGCCTTTGCTTTTTCTCATTCTCAGTGTTTGTAACTGGGATGGTGACCCAAACTCGAACTCAGCAGGTACATGAAAGAACCGCCTTTGCTCTAGTTCCAGGCAATAGGGTGCACGTGCACACACATGGACACACGTGGACACACACACACATGCACACATGCATGGGCACATGTACACACACACGTAAAGTGCACATGTGCACGCGCACGCGCGCGCACACACGAAGTGTATGCATCAGAGAGCTTTTCTCCGGGGTTTTAAGCACTTTCAGAGGTTCTGCAGCCATTTCCCAGGGGCTGCCCAGCAGCCTAAGGAGGCCGCCCTCTGTGTTACTGGCTGGTGGGTTCGTGCCCGGGCGGGGAGCTTCCCCCTTAGAAAGTCTCCGTTTCCTCAGCCATTTCTCTACAGAGAGTACGTGGCAGCTCTAAGCTTCCCTGTGCGTAGGCTGCTGCTCTTGCCTTCCTACCAACCTCATTTTACCTGCACACAGCCTGCTCCATGAGAAATCACAGTCCCTCCGTACAGCGCCACCCACACGCAGACTTGCCCAGTTCTTCCTGACAGGAAGATGCAGACTGTTTTGGGAGCTCATTTTGATTTCTTTCTAAGTAATTCTCTGCAGAGGGTCCAGAGTCCACGTTTCCTTTTACGTCTTCCGCACTGTGTGCACACTGTCTCCCTCTCCCCACTGTGTGCCCGCTGTCTGTGTCCCCCCACTGTGTGCCCACTGTCTCCCTCTCCCCACTGTGTGCCCGCTGTCTCCGTCTCCCCACTGTGTGCCTGCTGTCTCCCTCTCCCCACTGTGTGCCTGCTGTCTGTGTCCCCCCACTGTGTGCACACTGTCTCCCTCTCCCCACTGTGTGCCCGCTGTCTCCGTCTCCCCACTGTGTGCCTGCTGTCTCCCTCTCCCCACTGTGTGCCTGCTGTCTGTGTCCCCCCACTGTGTGCACACTGTCTCCCTCTCCCCACTGTGTGCCCGCTGTCTCCCTCTCCCCACTGTGTGCCCGCTGTCTCCCTCTCCCCACTGTGTGCCTGCTGTCTGTGTCCCCCCACTGTGTGCACACTGTCTCCCTCTCCCCACTGTGTGCCCGCTGTCTCCCTCTCCCCACTGTGTGCCTGCTGTCTCCGTCTCCCCACTGTGTGCACACTGTCTCCCTCTCCCCACTGTGTGCCCGCTGTCTCCGTCTCCCCACTGTGTGCCTGCTGTCTCCCTCTCCCCACTGTGTGCCCGCTGTCTGTGTCCCCCCACTGTGTGCCCACTGTCTCCCTCTCCCACTGTGTGCCCGCTGTCTCCCTCTCCCCACTGTGGCCCTCGTGTGCCCGCTGTCTCCCTCTCCCCACTGTGTGCCCGCTGTCTGTGTCCCCCCACTGTGTGCACACTGTCTCCCTCTCCCCACTGTGTGCCCGCTGTCTCCCTCTCCCCACTGTGTGCCCACTGTCTCCCTCTCCCCACTGTGTGCCTGCTGTCTGTGTCCCCCCACTGTGTGCACACTGTCTCCCTCTCCCGACTGTGTGCCCGCTGTCTCCCTCTCCCCACTGTGTGCCCACTGTCTCCCTCTCCCCACTGTGTGCCCGCTGTCTCCCTCTCCCCACTGTGTGCCCGCTGTCTGTGTCCCCCCACTGTGTGCACACTGTCTCCCTCTCCCCACTGTGTGCCCGCTGTCTGTGTCCCCCCACTGTGTGCCCGCTGTCTCCCTCTCCCCACTGTGTGCCCGCTGTCTCCCTCTCCCCACTGTGTGCCCATTGTCTCCTTCTTCCCCACTGTGTGCCCGCTGTCTCCGTCTCCCCACTGTATGCCCGCTGTCTCTGTCTCCCCACTGTGTGCCCGCTATCTCCGTCTCCCCACTGTGTGCCCGCTGTCTGTGTCTCCCCACTGTGTGCCCGCTGTCTCTGTCTCCCCACTGTGTGCCCATTGTCTCCTTCTTCCCCACTGTGTGCCCGCTGTCTGTGTCCCCCCACTGTGTGCCCGCTATCTCCGTCCCCCCACTGTGTGCCCGCTGTCTGTGTCCCCCCACTGTGTGCCCGCTGTCTGTGTCCCCCCACTGTGTGCCCGCTGTCTGTGTCCCCCCACTGTGTGCCGGCTATTAGCAGGGCAGCAGCACTCAGCCTCGGCTGCAACGTGGATGAAAAGCCCACACAGTCTTCATTCCCCGCGTGTGCTCTTGGCTCTTCTCTGATAGAAACTGGCCAGTATCTCACCTTGTCTTTCTTTTACTTTTCTCTTTAATTTAAATTTCATCTTTCAGTTGTAGTTTACAGCATTGTGCTCAGACAGTCATACATTTTAGGACGTGTGCCCCCCGATCTTCCCAGTGCCCACCTGGCCCCTACACAGTTATTACAATACTAGGGGCCCAGTGCACAAATTTGTGCACCTTAAAAGGAACTGTGGGCCGTGAGGCTGTGGTGGGCACAGGGGCGGGTCTCGGCCCACCCTCCGCACCCTGTCTGGCCCCTCCTGCTGTGGCCCCCAGGCCCCTGTCTGCCGGCAGCCCCACTCCCACTGCCGCTCGCTTGCACCAGCTGACAGGCAGAGAGCGATTGGGGTTGGCGTCAGCAGTGGGTGCGAGCAGGGCCAGCGCTGGCAGTAGGTGTGAGCGCTGGGTGGGGCCGGCTCACGGGAGCAAAGAATTTTCAGTAATCACCAGAGGCTCACCCCGATCACAGCAACCAGCGCCCTGCCTTGGTCTGGTCCCCCCCCCCCCCGCCCCACTCACCTGCTCCTCCATCCTGCCATGGCTGACGGCCACCATGTTCCATGCTCTGCTGCCTGCTGCCAATGCCTGCCATGTTCCGCATGTGCCCCCGCCCCCGGTGGTCAGCACACATCATAGCAACCGGCTCTTTGGTTGTTTGGTTGTTCCAGTGTTCGGTCCATTTGCATATTAGGGTTTTATATAGATAGATTACTGACTGTTCCCTGTGGGTACCTCCCATCCCCAGGACTGTTCTGTAACTGCCAATCGGTGCTCCTCAATCCCTTCCCCTCTCCCCAGCACCCCCCCTTCCCATCAGCATCATCTCTAAAGGTGTCTTTCTTGACAAGGTTGTCTCTTTTTTGTGAAAACAGAGCATATCTTCTGAAAACAGGAATATCCATCAAACGGTTCTCCCTTGTAGTGAAAAGAGGAATGACTGGAGCAGGTGCAGGGATAGTGGGCTGGTACCGTGCGTGCCAAGCCCCGGAGGCTGGGAGCCAGGGCTGCTGGCAGGGCTGGGGCAGGGGCCTGGGAGGAGGTGGACACAAAGGCCATGCAAGGGAGAGCCATGCAAGGGAGAGCCATGCCCTGCTCTGGCCTGATTCCGAGGGCCCGCACGCAGGGCAGCCAGAAGCAGCGGCGAATGCAGAGATGAGCTTTTGTGAAGGAACCAAAGAACAGAGCAAACAGGAGGGAAGGGAAAGCACCTGGGAGTCGTTTTTCAGATGGGGAACCGAGAACAAGGGACATCGTTCCTGTGCGTAGGCGTTTAAATACCTCCGACAGCAGGGACCTCAGGGTTTCTCTTCTTTCTTTGGAAAGGAAGTGCGGGGGTGGGGTGGGGGGGGATTGGGGAGGGGTTCTGGGAACGGGGAAGGGCCAGGTAGGAGGAGGCCAGGTAGCGTGTGTGGAGTGTGGCGGTCGCAGAGCCCTTACCTGATCCCTATGGTAACTAGAGGCTAATAAGCGAGGGCCTCAGCTTACTGTCCCCGTTGGGCCGCCTGGGAGGGAGGTGTGGCCCTTGGTGATGAACACTGATCTGTGTCGTCCGGGGCGCTTTCCTAACGGCGCCTCCTCTTGCCTTGGCTTCTGCAGGCTATTTCTTGGGCCTGAATGACCTGATCGTGTCCTCCCTGGAGCTGACCGTGCACGCGGGTGAGCCTGCCCTGCTGGGCTGCGCGTTCCAGAGCGTGGAAGGGAAACGCGTGACCAAGGTCGACTGGACATTCTCACCCCAGGAGCACGCCCAGGTGACGAGGAGGACACAGGGCCGAGCTGTGGGAGCCTTGCCCGGGGTCGGGACGCGAGGGAGGGGGGGCCAGGTCTCCAGGGGCCATGAGGTGAGTGTTCAGGAGCTCGGGCTCTGGAGCGCGCCAGGACCCCTCTCCGCCTGGACGTCCAGCCTCGCTGCGCGTCCGCCTCCCTCTGTGAGGAAGCTGAGGTCATCATTGGGAGCTCATGGGAGGCGTGCACATACGTTTCAGTTTGTTTTCTCAGTGTTGCCCTCCGTGGAGCAGCGCGGGTGCCTGGGTGGGTGGGTGGGTGGGGGGAGTGAGTTGGTCTGCACAGTCGGTTGTGACCTCAGCATGTATGTGCGGGAGAATCTCTCGGCCTCCTTCCCAGCTGTGTGCCCCGTGGGGGTGGGCAGGTGCAGCACAGCTGCGGAGGAGGTTTTGTGGGCTCTTTGGAGCAGGAAGCAGAGCTTCTGCGGAGATGCTTCTATGCCAGGATCACTTGGGGAAAATGTCCTACTAGCATGTTATTAACAACAAGCTCCCAAGGTTTGCAAATGAAATATTATTTTTGAAGCTCAGGACATGTTATTCCCAGAATGCTACGCTCACTGCAATGCTCATGGCTGCTTAGTGTTACGGGAGGGATGTCCCATGTGTAAGTAGAGATGAGAATCCCCAGGCCTGTCCCTCCGGCCTGTGCGGCACTTCCTGTTGATGACTCCTCGCGCCTCACTGGAAGCTGCCAAGAGGGGGGCAGACGGGCAAGTGACAGCCCCCATCATGCCTCCGATTGCCAGCTGCTCCCAGGGCTGTGGCAGAAGACGGGTGAAGATGGGAGGTGGTTCCCACGAGCTGAGTCTGAACCCCCAGAGCGATCTTCAGAGTGGGTGCTGCATTTCACCCCCAAGGCCAGGGCCGAAAGGTGTGGCCCCTCTTTCTCCATCCAGCTCTCTGTGAGCCATGGAGCGTGTGCACGTGAGATGCTTCCTGGCACATGATGATGTTTGAATCCCACTCAAAATATTTCACTCTCGCCCTGGCCGGTGGGCTCAGTGGATAGAGCATCAGCCTGTGGACTGAAGGGTCCTGGGTTCGATTCCAGCCAAGGGCACATGCTGGGGTTTCAGGCTTGATCCCCAGTGTGGGGTGTGCAGGAGGCAGCTGAACAATGATTCTCTTTCATCATTGATGTGTCTATCTCTGCCTCTCCCTTCCTCTCTGAAATCCATAAAAAATAAATTGCAAAAAAAGAATAAGAAAATGTTCACATCAGCTGACTCGGGCCCCTGATGCCGTGCCCTCCAGGTCGAGTACGTGCTGTACTATTACGCCAACCTCAGCGTGCCGGTGGGGCGCTTCCAGACCCGGGCGCGCCTGGCGGGGGCCCTCTCGCACAACGACGGCTCTCTCCTGCTCCGAGACGTGCAGGAGGCTGACCAGGGAACCTACACCTGCGAGATCCGCCTGGAACTGGAGAGCCGCGTGTTCAAAACCGAGGTGGCGCTGCACGTGCTGCCAGAGGAGCCCCGAGGTGCGTGGCCCCCGCTCAGAGGGGAGGCGGGGCTGGAGACATGAGGGCGAACCGGGCAGGGGCCGGATGTTGTGGTAGATGCCAGCCCCGGGCTCCGTGCTCACCACAGCAGGAGCCTGCAGTCAGGAGTGCTCTCCAGTTAGAGCGAGGAGGAATTCCCTAGCCGGCTTGGCTCAGTGGATAGAGTGTGGGCCTGCGACTGAAGGGTCCCGAGTTTGACTCCAGTCTGGGCACAAACCTAGGTGGTGGGCTCAATCCCCAGTACGGGGTGTGCCGGAGGCAGCCAACCCATGATTCTCTTTCAGCATTGATGTTTTTCTCTCTCTCTCCCTCTGCCTTCCTCTCCGAAATAATAATATATATTTAAAAAATAAATAAAACGAGGCTGACCGACATTATTAGTTTAGAATCTTTCATGCTCCTGAAAGTGCTGCGGGGGAAGTGCATTCCTTCCACTCACAGGCTCAGAGAGGCCCAGTGCGGCTTCCGCCCCATGTTTAGTAAACGCCAGACCCAGCGCTTGATCCTGTGGCCTCTGACATGCCCTTTTCACTGCGCCCACCCTTCCTGCCTTCCCACGCTGATGCCGCGGTGTGTGGGTCCTGCAGGCAGCGCTCGGGGCATGCGGGGCGCGAGCAGTTTCCCTAACTTCTTTGGGAGCGAGTGGCTTCAGTAGATGGTGGTGTGAGAGCTGCTCTGTGGAGCCTGGGGGCGCTCAAAGGATGAGAGCAGGGAGGGCGGATGGAGGGCCTGGCCAGGTAGGACCTCACGCTCTCACCTCCCCTGCACACTCAGCCCTTATCTTGTTCCTGATTTATTATGGGGCCGCCAGGTAAGATTTTGTTTGAAGAAAGAATTCTGCTTTAAAAGGTTTGGAAACCCCAGAATTCTGCACAGTTTTTGCAAGTGTGAGACAGGAGACGTCTGGTCTGCGGCCTCAGGAACTAGTTGGGGCGCTGGAGTGTGCTCCTCCGCCCCCATCCGGCTGGTTTGGGACCCTCCTTTAGAGAGCTCCTCCCGCCACCCCGCCTCCCGCTGGAGACGCTCATCCCTGCTCAGCTGTGTCTGCCCCGGTCACCTGGGTCTGTGTTTTTTGTCCCCTTACCAGCCCTGACCGGCTCCTTTTGTCCCCTGACGGGCACAGAGGGAGCGATCAACAAACACTTATGAATGAATGAGATTCTTGAATGTGCCCCTCACTGGAGTTTGGCGTCTGGAAACTGGAGCTGTAGACGGTAGCTTCTGGCCTCTCTCCTAGTTTATTTATGTCTGTATTTATTTATTTCACTTTTCTCCAATTGTCCTTTTTCTGATTCCCAAGCTATGGCCCTCTGGGAAGAGGACAGCAGTCAGCTGCCCGTGTCCCCTGGGCTTGCCTCGGGGCCATGCTGTCTGCTCTGTCTCTGATGCCACGCCCCAACACGTGTCCACACAAGTGTGGCCCACCAAGCGGGGCCTTTTCCTGTTTAGAAGAAACGCAGAGGGACGAACCAGAAGGAGCGACTCCGGGCGTTGAATCCGTCCGCACGGCGGGGACGTCTGTGGGGTAGTTAGATGTCCCCGGGGCTGCGTCTGCTTTCCCCTCGCGCCGACGGGAGGAGACCCAGCCCCTCGCCCCGCGGCCCGTGCCGCCCTCCTCTTCCCTGGAAGCCCCGTCTGTGCGGTGGCTCTGATTTTCTCCACCAAGGGGCCCTTCAGCTTGTCATTTTCCTGATTCTAGGGCTTTAGTTCTTTTTTCACTGCTCTTATTTCAACACTATAGACAATATTCTTACAAATGAAAACAATGCCAGCTCCTGTTCGGCTGCTCTGGGGCGGCCGTCCTTCCGCTCTGAGGTGTGGAGTGAGGGAGTGAAAGCTGGGCGTGCGCCCACTCAGGCGGTGCTGGCCTCTCAGGTTCACCCTCTGTGCATGGGGAGGGTCCGAGTGAGTAGCTCCAAGTATTGTAATGCCCAGTCACAGGCTACACATGGGTGCCTCCCATGTGCCCGCTGCATTGGGAGGATTCAGAGGGTTCACTATTATTATTGCCTTTAAGAAACAGTTCAGTTTTAAAAATATACACATTTTTATTATTGATGTCAGAGAGGAAGGGAGAGGGAGAGAGAGAGAAACATCAATGAGAGAGAATCATTGATCGGCTGCCTCCTGCACTCCCCATGGGGATTGAGCCCACAACCCTGGCATGTGCCCTGACCGGGAATCGAACCGAGACCTCCTGGTTCAGAGGTCGACGCTTTAGCCACGGAGCCACGCCAGCCGAGCTAGAGGTCAGTTTGTAACGCGTGGCTAGCATTCGAGGCCGTTGCCTCCTCTCCTGGTGTTCTTTGGAGTGAATTTTTATGACTTTCAAAACAATTCCCTCTGCAGAGTTTCGAGTTCATAATGTTTTCGTTGGCTTCGCTCTCGTTCTGCATTTGTCCTGCTGGGCAGGAAGCTCGTTCTCCGAGGGGAACGGGTGGAGAGGTCGGCTGTGCGCTGTTTGCTCCTTCCTGAACTTCGCTAGTGCTCTTTGGAAGGAGCTTTGTCCAGTTAAGACCTGGGCTCGTGCCTCCCTGAGCACCACCCTCCCTTCCCTTTCTTCACTGGCTTTGTGTTTGATTTGGGTAGGGCAGCATCGAAAAAATCAGCACATCTTCCTCGTTGTTTTCTTTTCCAAGGGCCTCTTGCAATGATTTACAAAGTACACATGTGATGGGGTCAGCTGCTCACAGAATAAGCAGAAGAGGAGCCCAGGACTTGCAAAGCCAGAAGCAGGGGAAGTGGGAGCAGGCTGGAGGGTGGGGCAGGGAGTGAAACAGAAACAACATCCAGAGGAAAACTGTCTGTTGTCTTGGCCTAATTAGTAAGGAGTCCTGTGACCTGCTCTGTAGCCAGAACTGTCCTAAGCAAGTCCTAAGGCAACTTGTAGAAAGAAAGGAAGTAGAGGAGAGGCACCTGTGACTCCGTTCTTCAGCCGGGTGCAGGGGGTTATCCTATTCTAGAGGCCCGTTGCAGGAAGATTCCTGCAAGAACAGGGCTTCCTGAGGCCAGAGCGAAGCAGAGAAGGGAGCAAAGCCGGAGGCGGGCTTCGCTCCCTCCCTTCCCCGCTGCCTCGGCTCCCTCCCGTGTCCTCTGCTTCACCTCCCTCTCGTGTCTGCTGCCTCGCTCCCTCCCGTCTCTGCTGCCTCTGATCCGTTCCCTTCTCCGCCGCTTGGCTCCCTTCTGCAGTGCTTGGATTCCTTCTACACTGTCTTCACTCTTCACTGGGCCCCTGTGTATGCAAATTAACTGCCATCTTTGTTGGGTTAATTTGCATACTTGTCTGATTGGCTGGTGGGCGTAGTGAAGGTGCAGTCAATTAGCATCTTTGTCTTTTATTAGTGTAGATAATAAAAGGCTAATATGCAAATTGTCCCCTCCACCGGGACTTCAACTTGGAGTTCGACCAGGGGGCAGGGCCACCAGCCAACTGCCTGTGGCCCCTCCCCCCCGCCAGCCTGGCTCAATCAGCCCTGATTGGGTTGGGCTGACCGGACCCTGCCTGTGCACAAATTTGTGCACCGGGCCTCTAGTATATGTATAAGAATGAGAGTGTTGTACCTTCCCACTTCCTGTTTATGCGAAGCAGATGTGGGAACCTCAGGAGGTGGGCAGAAGGTGGTGGCCTTCATGCTTTCTTGTACTGTCTTCAGTAGGAACTTGAAGTGGAGTGGGGCCCATGTGAGGGAGAAGGGAACTGAAGACCAGGAAGTGTTTGTCGTAGGAAGACAACAGGACTCTCGCCTTGATGTGCATGGGTGGCTGGAGGGGCCCTCTTCCTTGGGAGCACCATGTGGTGTGAGGGGAGGCTTCTGAATTCGTGGTCCATCCGGACCATCTGGGCCGTCCGTGGAGAGGATGTGTGTAGTGTTGGTTGGTAATGTTGACCTTACTGTGGAGAATCTTCGGCTACATGTTATCTCTTCTAGAAGTTCTATGGCCTCTACTGATTGTATCTTGGGTTTGACCTGATTTATCCTCTTATCCCCAGAGCTCACGGTCCATGTGGGTGATTCAGCTCCGATGGGCTGTGCTTTCCAGAGCACGGAAGAGAAGCTCATGACCAAGGTCGACTGGACGTTCTCACCAGGGAAGCATGCCAAGGTAAGGAGGAGGGACCGCCTCGGTGTGGTAGGAGCCCCTGGTTGGCAGTATCAGGACAGTGGGGGAATCTAGGCATCCGGTGCCATGTGGTGACATGCCTGGGCCACTTGGCTGGGCCACTTCAGCTTTTTGGTGGGAAAAATAACTCTAATGAATATGATAAGATAATGAAGAAGGAACCTTAGCTGATGTGGCCCAGTGGATAGAGCATTGGCCTGTGGACCAAAGGGTCCCAGGTTCGATTTTGGTCAAGGGCACATACCTCGGTTGTAGGCTCCTCCCCAGCCTGGGCCCCAGTCAGGGTGCGTGCAGGAGGCAACCAATCAATGTGTTTCTCTCATATCAATGTTTCTCTCTGTCTTTCCCTCTCCCTTCCACTCTCTCTAAAAATCAATGGGAAAATATCCTGGGGTGAGGATTAAAAAATATAAAAAAAAATAATGAGGAAGGAGAAGGAGGAGGAGGAGGAGGAGGAGGAGGAGGAGGAGGAGGAGGGGGAGGAAATGCATAGCTCGTATGGCAGTGGAGACTTGTATGAGGTGGTGCGTGTGAGGCATCTGTGCATGGCTCAGCCACTGTGTATCGTTTTCCCCTCTCTCCCTTCTTCTCTTTGTGGAGTTCCTGGGAGAGAAGGCAGGGTTTCTGTGGCCTAGGCAGGAAAGCTGTGGGCGGAGGGAAGAATGACAACTGTGTTCTTATGTAGGTTACTTTTGTGAGTTTCCTTCTGCCCGCCATTGCCCCACTCATGTGGTGGAGAGAACCCCCTGTCGTCAGGGGGCTGCAGATGCTGGGACTGTCGCTCCCAGGGGCCGGGGCGAGGAGCGTGTCCTGCGGACCCTGAAGCTGTAAAACAGCACGTTCGCTCACAAAACCAGGGATGTCACTGTGGCGGGTGAGGTGCTCCTGGGCCCTGCTGTGTAATATAATATATTACTGTTAATATAAGTTAAGGCGGACACTGCGTGCAAGTTTTAGCTTTTATAAATTAAGACAGCGGTCATCCCTATAAAAAGTCACTGAAATTCACTCAATTCCTCTCTGCTCTGAGGGACAGGAAGGGCGGCCTCGCGTGGCCTATGGGGAGGTCTGAGTAGTCTCAGGCCACCGCTGGGAGCTTGTCATGCACTTACATGTCAGCCACCAGTGAGTCCCACAGCAAACAGGTGAGAGTTGACATTCTGAGCTGTGAGTTTGAATCACAGAGGTAAGAGGTTAGGGCGAGGCCTTTTTATTCGCCTTTGTCTGTACAGCCATCCGCTTCTTCTCCTAAAAGCTTTTAAAAATGCGAATGTTTATGTTCCTTACTTTAAAAATGCCAACACGTCCTCATTTAATGAGTGCTTTTGGGCATCTGCTGTGCAGTGAAAGCCTCGCCCTGACGGGACCCCCCCCCCCCCTCCCAGGCAGGAGGGAGCCACAGTCACCTAATGCAGGGGCAGCTGCAGCCCATCAGTGAGGAGACCTGGAGAAGGAGCCGCAGGGTCTTGCTGCTGCTTGCACAGGACTCAGGGAGGCCTCGCCGAGCAGGTGGCATCGGAGCAGAGGTCGGAGGAAGGAAGGGACTGAGCCATGTGCATGTCTGGGGAGAGGAGTGTCCAGGTGTACAGAGCAGCACGTGCGAAGGCCCTGAGGCCACGACTCAAGGGGCAGCGAGGAGGTCAGTGAGGCTGGAGCGCAGTGACCCAAGTAGGCGCGAGAGCAAGTGGGCGATGGGCCCCGAGGAAAGTGCCTGTAGACGTGCAGGCGCATCGGAGGGTTTGCAGAGGAGGAACATGCTGCCACTTACGTTTCTAACGACTCATCTCCTGGGATTGGACCGCTTGGGAGCAAGTGGGAGACAGTGAGGAGTCCGGGTGAGAAATGGCCCGAGGAGGTGGGAAGGGGCTGGGGGTGAGGTGCCGGGGAAGGTCGCGGTGAGGGGTGAGATGTTCAAGGAGGAGGGGGCGAGGGTGACTCCGAGAGGTGCAGCCTGAGCCTCTGAGGAAGGCGCCGCTCACAGAACCGAGAGGAAGGCCTGGGCGGGAGCCCGGAGCACAGCGCTCGACCCGCTGCCACTTCCCGGGAAGCCCGCCTGGACAGGGCAGCAGCGTGACGCTGCGCTGTACTTCTTGGTCCCGGAGACGAGTGGAAAGCGAAAGCCCCTTCTCATTTCCTCGTCCTTCTCTCCCAAGGACCGTTGTCGTGACGTGGGAGTGTCCTTCCCGACGACACCGGCCCGCACACGCGTGTGTGTTCGCGCCGTCCTTGCTGACAACACCGGTGCTGCTTACACATTCGCCCCCCCCTTTGCCTCTAGGAGGAGGTGATGCTGCGCTATTACACCACACGCGGCAGACCCGGGGGGCACTCCCAGAGCGGGGGCCGCTTCCAGAGCCGCGTCGCCCTGGCGGGGGACACAGCGCGCAACGACGGCTCCGTCCTGCTCCAAGAGGCGCGGGTGTCCGACACAGGAAGCTACACCTGCAGCATCCACCTGGGGAACCTGACTTTCAGGAAAACCTTCGCGCTGCACGTGATTCCGGAGGAGCCCCGAGGTGTGTAGGTGTGCCGGGGAGCGGGGCGGGGCGAGGCTGGTTAGCAGGACCAGGACTAGTGAGGGGGGGGGCTCTCAGGGTGCGAAACGTCAGGAGGTGTCACTCGCGGTGCTGCCCCCGTACTAGCACGGCCCTGAGGCTGGTGCCTCTTTGAATGTGGTGCCCTGGGCAGCTTGGGGGCCTCGCCCTAGCTCTGGCCTTGCTGGTCGGTCAGTGAAAAGGAGCCAGTACGTTCAGGGAGCCCGGCCCTCTGCCAGGCCTCCCCGTGGCCAGCGCCGTCTGTCAGCTTAAAGGTCCGGGATGCAGGTGGACTGGAGTTGAAGTTCAGACCGTTTTGACTGTGTGCTCTGGGGAGGAGGGTGAAGGGACCCTGAGCTGGTGGGAGCAGCAAAGAACAGAGAAACAGGAAGGCACCAGAACCAGAAGTAGGTGGGGGGGTTTTCTGATCAAAGGCGCTGTGTTCTGGGAAACACAGGCATTGAGGCCGGTGTGGAGGAGGACAAAGCCTGGGTTGTGTTGACTGAGAGGTTGCTAAGTGAGGGTTAGAGTTAAACCTTAACCCAGTTAGCAGCCAGGATGTGGCTGTGGAGTCTGCATTGCACCAGGGCCCTCAGCGCTTGGCTGTGGTTGGCTGGAGGGGGGTTGGAGGCAGGATGGGGCTTACCTGATGCCCCTGGCCTGGGACTTAAGTCTGTGGAGGCACCTTCTTGTCCGTAGCAAAGGGTCCCAGCTGCAGAGGGAAGCAGGACAGATGGCCTTCTCCACCTCCGAAATCTCATCCCAACGTCACAGACTAAAGACCAGCCATAGTGGGAGCGTGTTCACCTCCCAACCCGTCCCTGCAGCGGTCTCTGCCCTGCCTCCAGCCCAGGGCGCAGGTGCCTTCCCGCTCCTTCCCCCTCACGTCAGTGGCTCCTAAGGTTCAGTAAATAAATGCTCACCTGTTCCTCCTGCCCCAGGTTCCTCTGCTTAGCTCGAATCCTATAGCTTTCTTCTTTTTCTTTTGTTAATCCTCACCCGAGGATATTTTTCCATTGATTTTGAGAGAGAGAGGAAGAGAGAAATATCAATGTGAGAAAAACACATTGATTGGTTGCCTCCTGCAAGGCCCCAACCAGGGCCTGGGCTGGGGAGGAGCCTGCAACTGAGGTACGCGCCCTTGACCGGAATTGAACCCAGGACCCTCCGGTCCGCAGGCCGACGCTCTATCCATTGAGCCACACCGGCCAGGGCACTTCCTTTTTCTTAAAACGGCTTTATTGAGATATGAACACAGCGCGCCCACTCAGTGCACAGCTCATGGTGGGTGTTCAGAGCTGTGCAGCCTTGACCACATCGGGAGTGTGGTTTGACGAGGTGCTTGCTGCAGGGCTGCGTGTGACGTCTCTCGTCTCACTGCCCATCGTCTCGTTTCCTCCGCCCACCACATTCTGGCTGCCGCTGCTCCTCACTTGGCTCCGATCCGACGGCACTAGGCACATCCCGCCCCCTTTCCTCGTGGGATTGGACGCCACACACTCCGTGTGGGACACAGTCTGTCCATCTCTGTCCATCTCTGTAGAGCTGTGTGCGGTCCACCCCAGTGCCCCCCAAGTCCTTCAAATACAAGACATCCAGCCATGGCCACCTCTTCCCAGCCCACCTCACCCCCACCCGCCATGAATGCTGCCACCTACCCGTTGTACGCGCTGCTTCCCGTTCCGAGGACCCCGTCTACCCGGTGGACGGTCCTGTCGTCTGTGCCTGACTCTGAATCTGCCTTCTTCCCGTCCATCCTGCCGCCTTCCTGCTGGTGTCTTTATCTCCGTCTTGAACTCAGGCCTCTGACTGGCCTCTGCCTTCATGGGTGGCTGGGGTGCCCTCTTCCTGCAGCAGCCACAGGTCCCAGCGCTCAGCCCCATCGCGATGTCCTCTCAGCGGCTTCTCGTTGCCTCCAGGACAAAAGCCAGACCCTGTATTTGTGTGTTTAGAATGAATGAGGAAACGAGTGCAGGAAAGTGCCCCGAAGGCCTCATGTGGCGTCCTGCCGGCGGCTGAGCTTTGTAGCACGGAGACTTTCGAAAAGAACGACTTTCCCTCGGCCGGTGTGGCTCAGGGGCTGAGCGTCGCCCTATAACCAGGAGGTTACAGTTTGGTTCCCAGTCAGGGCACAGGCCCGGGTTGTGGGCTTGATCCCCAGTGGGGGATGTGCAGGAGGCAGCCTATCCGTGATTCTCTCATCATTGATGTTTCTATCTCTCTCTCCCTCTCTGAAATCAACAAAATATATTTAAAAAAACAAAATCACTTTCCCATAGAAAGCTCAGTAGCGTCCAAGAGTCTGTTATGTCTACGTCATTTGTGACCCAAGTTTTAAGATAGAATTGTTCATGCAAAAGGGAGCTCTAGGTGAGGTGCCATCTCTTCTCCTCCGCCCGTAAGCAAGGGCGTCAGGCTTTGGTTCTCAATCTGTAGGGACTGCAGGAGTCCTAGTGCTTCAACGCGGAGTGGAGTCGGCCTTCTCCCCCACTTCCTGCCCAGCTGTGGCTGCTGCGTCTATAACTGGGGGCCTCAGCCCTTTCCTGTGCACTGAGGCCCCCACTGCTTCCTCCCTCCCCAGCACTGGTGACCACCGTGGCCCGCAGTCCCGAGGTCCTGGGCGGCAACCATCTGGTGATCATCGTGGGCATCGTCTGCGCCACTGTCCTGCTGCTTCCTGTGCTCATCCTGACTGCGAGGAGGATCCATGGGAGTAAGAGGTACAGGCCGCTGGTGGTGCCAGGCTGCCTCTACCCCGAGGGGGGAGGGAAGACGGGCCGGAGCGGTGCCCTGTTCCCAGAAGGGCTGTTTCAAAAGGGAACGTCCTCTGTGGACGATGTGGTGTCAGATGTCCTTGGCATAGTCACCCACGCCCTGCTCCCGAGGCCGTGCGCATTCCCACACCCGCCTCCTTTGAGTGGGTGTTTTACAAAGATCAGCAGCTCCTCTACAAATGGTGGTCTGGGTCAGCGGTTCTCAACCTGTGGGTCGCGACCCCTTTGGGGGTCGAATGACCCTTTCACAGGGGTCGCCTAAGACCATCGGAAAACACATATATAATTACATATTGTTTTTGTGATTTATCACTATGCTTTAATTATGTTCAATTTGTAACAATGAAAATACATCCTGCATATCAGATATTTACATTATGATTCATAACAGCATCAAAATTACAGTTATGAAATAGCAACAAAAATAATTTTATGGTTGGGGGTCACCACAACATGAGGAGCTGTATTAAAGGGTCGCGGCATTAGGAAGGTTGAGAACCACTGGTCTAGGTGGTCTAGGTGCAGCATAATTCAGAGTCTAAACCAGCCGTGGGCAAACTACGGCCCTTTTATGTAATGATGTTTACTTTGAATTTATATTAGTTCACACAAACACTCCATCCATGCTTTTGTTCCGGCCCTCCGGTCCAGTTTAAGAACCCATTGTGGCCCTCGAGTCAAAATGTTTGCCCACCCCTGGTCTAAACCTTGCCCAGCCAGTGTGGCTCAGTAGTTGAGCATCAACCTATGAACCAGGAGGTCACAGTTTGATTCCCAGTCAGGGCACATGCCAGGGTTGTGGGCTCAATGCCTAGTAGGGGGCGTGCAGGAGGCAGCCAATCGATGATTTTCTCTCATTGATGTTTCTATTTCTCTTTCCCTCTCCTTTCCTCTCTGAAATCAATAAAGACATATTTTTAAAAAAATTTTAAGGAGTATAAATCTTAAGCACAAACTATAATGGTGCCGTTCAATGCCTGAGATAAATGATTAAAAAATATTTTTACTGATTTTTAGAGAGAAAGAGAGGGAGAGGGAGAGAGTGAAAATGGGAAATAGGCCAAAATAGAAAAAAGTGTATTCAATGGCAAATGCAGAAGGCAAATGGCCGATATCAAAGGCCGAGGAGTGGGAAGGGGCCAGAGCGCACAGTGGGGTGCTTGTGGGGTAACTCGGCTGGGCCTTTGACCTGCTTCCCCTGCTGGCCCAGCAGCACCTCCCTGGTCCTGGGAGATAAGCAAGTAGCCTGTCGCCCGGCTCTGTGCACCCACTTGCATGGCTACAGACAGAAAGTTGGGGTGACAGTGGGGAAGGGGGAGCTGCTGCCCGGCCTCACGGTCTCAGGACGCTCTCTGCTCACCGGGAGGCGCTGCGGGCTTCGGGGTGAGCTGGGGAGGAGTCCAGGGAGAACAGCCCTGCCCTGGTGCCTCTTCCCCAAGCGCTGTCGGCACCTGGACTGGCCAGTCCTGGCCGCTAACCGCCTGCATCTCCTGCCTTGCAGTTCCGGGATGTCCACGGCCCTGGTGAAGAGCCTGGAGGACAGGGACAAGGCTCCCCCCGAGGTAAGAGGAGGCTCTGCCGCTTGGCTGTGCCCGGCGAGGCCAGGTGAGCCCTGTGCCTATCAGGGTGATGTCGCCCTCGCTCCTGCACCCGCGTCTCACTCATCCTGTGCCTCAGCATGTGGGCCAGTGGCTGGCACAGAGCCCGGCTCCGGCCTCTCACCGCTGGACTAAAGCCCCCGGCGGGGGTGGTGTGGGCTGCTAGCCGCCCAGTGTGTGAGCGTGTGTGTGGGGGGAGGGGGGGCGCCTGAGCAGAGAGCACTGGACTCCGGCCAGACAGTCCTGGTGCGGGCCCAGCCCTGCGCCCCCTCTGAGCAGGACAAGGGCACCCAGACCTGCCCTGCCGTGGGCTCAGGTGTCGGGGTGACACGCAGGTGCTTCCTAACGCATGAGGCTGTGTGCACAGGAGGGGGAATCAGGGTGCGTTGGGGAGTGTCTGGGGGAGCCCCTGGTTAAGGGGAAACCCAGGACCCTTAGACAGCGAGGAGCCACCAGCCCCTTCTTCCGCGTTCGTTGTAACGGAGCTGTGAATGGTTATGGCTAGGGACTGAGAAATGGACTTGTTCCTTTGAACTCCTTTTTCTTCTTTTTTAAACGTTTAAAACCCCCTTTGGGATGTGGACCTTCCCACCTTTTGTCTGTCTGGGCCCGGGAGTCGGGTTTCCTCATAGTGCAGGGCTCCAGAGCCCAGAGCCTTCCACTGGATGACGTTGCTTCCCCAAGTAAAGACGGAAGTGGGCATCGCCAGTGCCCCAGCCTCCCAGGTGAGAGGCTCTGAGAGGCCGACCCGCCACGAAGCCTCTGAAAGGCTGGATGACAGGCCAGCGGCTGGCTGGTGCTGGCCTCCCCGCCAGGATTAATGAGGAGGAAGTAACCATGGAGTGGATCTGATTTGGTGAGAGAAGGATTCGGGCTGCTCCCTAAGGACCATCAAACAAAGGCTGGCAAAGAATTTGGTTCCTAAGATAGTGCTCTTTGCTGATGAGCTAATTTTCTTACTTTTCTGGAACATTGACGATGGAATTATCGTTATTGATGGTAATTCTCTAGCTTTCAGTAACCCTCTGCGCCTGCCCGTGTGGGTGGCTGATGCCTGTGAATCATGCCAGGTGGCCTTTTCTCTGTCACAGAACCACTGAGCCCAGTGGGGGTGGATCAGCAGTTGAGTATCGACCCAGGAACCAAGAGGTCAGGGTTTAATTCCGGTCAGGGCACATGCCCCGGTTGCAGGCTTGATCCCCAGTGTGGGTGTGCAGGAGGCAGCCGATCAATGATTCTCTCTCATCATTGATGTTTCTATCTCTCTCTCCCTCGCCCTTCCTGTCTGAAATCAATATAAATCCTAATATATAAAAACCCAGGGTCCGTAACAACCGACCGAACACTGGAAGTCAGTCCTGCAGTCACTGTGGGTGCAGCGACCCAGCACTGACTGCTGAGGAGGCTGTGGATCAGGCCCGAGAGAGGCCCGGAGAGAGAGGCAGGGTCTGATCTGCAGCCTCCATGGCAGCTGTTGATCAGCCGTTGCCTCTCTCTTTCTCTCTGGGCTTTGCCAGCAGCCGCGTCTGGCGTCTGTTTCTCTCCGGGCCTCCGACTGGGCTGCTGATCAGCCCTGCCTCTCTGATCAGGCCCCGAGATAGGCCTAGAGACGCTGACTGGCATAGAAACCCACCAATCAGAACCAAATTGGCCAGCAGGGGAGGGCAGTTGGGAGCAATCAGGCTGGCAGGCAGAGGCAGTTAGGGGCGATCAGGCAGGCAGGCAGGTCAGCGGTTAGGAGCCATCGGTCCCAGATTGCGAGAGAGATGTCTGACTGCCAGTTTTGGCCTGATCTCCCTAAACCGGCAGTCGGACATCCTCCAAGGGGTCCCTGATTGAAGAAGGTGCAGGCTGGTCTGAGGGAACTCCCCCCCCCCCCCCGACCCCATGCATGAATTTCATACACTGGGCCACTAGTATATATATAAAAAGTAGAACCACTGATTTTCAGGAACGTTTTACCATTTTCCCCTGTAGAAGCACGTTTACTCCTCAATCAACACGTGGGAGGTGACCAAGGAAGAAGAACCAAGTGACAGATCAGAGGCCACCTACATGACCATGGTGAGGAGGGGCTGGGTGTCTGGAGGCAGAGGACCTGGGGGGAGGATACAGCTGGGACATGGGGGGGGATACAGCCAGAACCTACATGGGGGGGATACAGCCAGGACCTAGATGGGGGGGATACAGCCGGGACCTGGGGGGAGGATACAGCTGGGACATGGGGGGGGATACAGCCAGAACCTACATGGGGGGGATACAGCCAGGACCTAGATGGGGGGATACAGCCGGGACCTGGGGGGAGGATACAGCTGGGAAATGGGGGGATACAGCCGGGACCCTGGGGGGGGAGATACAGCTGGGACATAGGGGGGAGGATACAGCTGGGAAGTGGGGGGATACAGCCGGGACCCTGGGGTGGAGCTACAGCTGGGACATGGGGGGAGGATACAGCTGGGAAATGGGGGGATACAGCCGGGACCCTGGGGGGGAGATACAGCTGGGACATGGGGGGGGGGAGGATACAGCTGGGAAGTGGGGGGATACAGCTGGGACCCTGGGGTGGAGCTACAGCTGGGACATGGGGGGAGGATACAGCTGGGAAATGGGGGGATACAGCCGGGACCTAGATGGGGGAGATACAGCTGGGACATGGGGGGAGGATACAGCTGGGAAATGGGGGGATACAGCCGGGACCCTGGGGGGGACATACAGCTGGGACCTGGGGGGAGGATACAGCTGGGACATGGGGGGGATACAGCCGGGACCTAGATGGGGGGGATACAGCCGGGACCTGGGGGGAGGATATAGCTGGGACATGGGGGGGATACAGCCAGGACCTGGCAGGAGGATATAGCTGGGACCCTGGGGGGAGGATATGGAGGAGGAGATGGCCAGGACCTGGCGGTGTGGGATACAGCCAGGACCTGGGGGGGAGCTGCTGAGGGCAGAGTCTTATAAGCGGCAGGAAAGTCAGACGCTGAAGCTCTGCTGGATAGAGGAGTCATTCCAAGGTGCCTTCTCGCCCAGCCTTGAGTACGAGGGGCATGAAGGCCAGAGGTGGTGGATTTTAGGGGTGAAGAGGAATTTCAGTGTGGGGTGACAGGGTGCCTCTGCCCCATCAGTAGGGCCTGACAAAGAGAGCACCATGGGTCCTTGCTTAGGTCCTATGTCAGGTTGAATACACCCCAATGAAGGGGCACCGTTGATCCTTGGACAGCGCTGCTGTAAGGGCAGACTCGCAGATGGCGGGCAGGCACACAGCCTGTGGGCTGGGCAGACGGGAGGGTCTAGGGGGTGGGGGATTGAGGGAAGAGAAGAGAACTCATGGCTATGGACAGCAGTGTGGCGGTGGCTGGGGAGGGGGTGAAGATGGAGGAGGGCAGAGGGGGGCCCCTCCCAGCTCCTAGATTCCTTCACTCTGAGAGGGACTTCTTACCCATCGGCCTCACCTAACTGCCGGGAGGGCTGCACACTGGATCCCATAGCATCACGAGGAGCTGGTTCCTTCTCGCTCTTGGCTCAGTTCCCCAGGGAAGCGTAGCAGCTGGAGGAGGCACCTGGCTGTAGGGAGCGGGGCAGGACAGAGGGTGAGCGGCAGGACAGGCTGCTTGTGGACTAATCATAGGCCCAGGCCCCAGGGAGTGCAGGCTCCGCTGTGCGGCTGATGGCTCGTGCGCTTCCTGCTGACCGGGGCTGAGGACACATGACTCCCCGTGGCCACAGGCCGGGAGGCTCTCCAGGGACGCGAGGTCGGGGCCTGGCCTGGTGCCTACGGCTGGAACAGTAGCTCCTCTCTGGAGCCGCAGTCGGACATAGTCACCCCCCTCGGCCATCACTGCCCTGTGACCTGCCGTGTGGTCTGCAGGGACCTCCGGCCCAGCCGCCCTGAGACCTGCCCCGCGGGTTCACAGAGGCTGTGGGAGGAGGTGGGTGCGAGTTGTCTTCGAAGCTCCCTGCCCAGGTTCAGTGGTAGGTGCTTCTAATTTATTCTTTTATTTTTACTTTTTTATTTTTATTTTTTACTTTTTTATTTTTACTTTTATCACCTGAGGATATTTTTCCATTGACTTTTAGAAAGAGTGGAAGGGAGAGAGAGAGACAGAGAAACACCAATGGATTGGCTGCCTCCTGATGCCCCTGAGCAGGGCCGGGAGCCTGCGACTGAGGTGTGTGCCCTTGACTGGAATCGAACCGGGGACCCTTCAGTCTACAGGCCGATGCTCTATCCACTGAGCACAACTGGCTGGAGCGGTGCTTATAATTTAAACTCTGCGGGAAATAGCACCTCTGTCCTCTTAAAATGGGCCGCCAACTCCCGGGCAGTCAGGGCTGGTCAGGTTATTGTACAACACCCTGCGCCAATGAAATAAGCTCGGGGCGGACTCCGCCTGCAGGGCAGGGGGCAGGGGTAACACAGAACCTTTGATTTTGTTGTTGAGTTGATGTAAACGAAGGGGCCCCATACCGGGTCCCTTTCTCAGCTTGTACAGCAAAGTGGCTAAGATCACAGCTTTGGAGCTGGGCTGACCCACAGGTCCAAATCCTGACTCTGACTTAGAAGCGAGGTGACCTTGGGCAGGTAACTTAGCATCTCTGAGCCTCAGTTTTCTCATCCTTAAAATGGGAATAATATTACCTACTTCCCCGGTGGGGGCCGGATGGGCGGAAAGAGCTCCGTACAGGGTGACTGTTCGGATTGAAATACGTTTCACATATTGCTTTCTGCTCTTTCCCTCCCTTCCCTGCAGCACCCAGTGTGGCCTTCAGCACTGAATTACCCGCCTGAGAAAAAGTGGGCCGAGGGAGTGCCCCAAACAGGGCGAGCCTTTTAAGAAGAGTCCCCTCACCTTCCCGAGGCAGAGGCGCCCCTGTGCGGCCTGTCCCTGTGCCAGCCATGCAGACCGCCCCCCCTCCCCCCAGCTGTCCTGCCTCCCTGGCCAGCCAGAGGCTGAAGATGGCCACAGACGTGGGCCCTCTGGAGCGGACCCTGGCTGAGCTGCCCCAGCTCACCAAGCACCCCATCTGATCCATCCCTCAGGCTGAATGTGATCCTGGGAAGAATCACAGGGAAACCCAACCCGAATGTTTCCTGTGACACACCCCTAAATAAATGTGACCTGGGATGCCATCCTGTCGTCGTCCCCTGGCTGGGGCGAGAGGCGTGGAACCATGAGTCAGCCGAGGGGACTGAGAAAGCTTTAGAGGGTTGGAAGTGGGGTATGAATACACCTCTAAAATGTAAGCCAGCGCTTCTTTAAAACACACACACACACACACACACACACACACACACACACACATAATTGATTTTAGAGAGGAAGTGAGAGGGGGAAAGAGAGAATCATCGATGGGCTGCCTTCTGTAGGCCCACACTGGGGATCAAGCCCACAACTGGGCATGTGCCCTGACTGGAAATTGAACCCTGACCTCCTGGTTCATAGGTTGATGCCCAGCCACTGAGCCACGCCAGCTGGGCACACCAGTGCTTCTTAACTTGGGCTGGGTGCAAAGTGGCTGGTGGCTCTGCGGAGCCTCACAGAGGCCCCCGAAAGTCCCGGGTGGAGCGTGGACATTTCTCTCTTTCAGAAGCGACGCCCGCAGGTTGCCAAGGTAAGTAGCCATCGACTTAACTGTTGGTCTGAAATGCGTGCGAGGTCCCTATACCTTCTGGTTACCATTACAAGATTCACTATGGTTAGTTTTTAAAATCTCTGGTTCTGAGCTCCGATTTCTAGCCTGGGCTCAGCTCACGTCTCCTCTCGCCTCCTGTGGGCCCCTCCTCGTCCTCTGTCTCCCGTCCTTCCCTTGGGCTGTCAGGGCAGGTGAAGAGGCCGTCATGCTTCTCTGCTTCTGGTACAAGTTCGAGTGGAGCTACCTTTTTCAAAGCGTCCTCTAACTCTAACCATCAGCACCCTCTCATCACCACCCACAAGTAGCGCCTCTCTTTCCCACTGTTCTGGGGTTTCCACTTGGAGGCCTCTTCTTGCTCTTGCTCAGCCAGGGACAAGGGTCATTAAATACTGTCTCCTTGCCCCGGCCAGGGCGTCGGCCTGCCGCCCGCAGGCCTGGGTTGGATTCTGACCGGTCTCGCGTACCTCGGTTGCAGGTTCCTGGTCAGGGCTCGCGAAGGAGGCAACCAATTGATGTGTTACCCTCACATCGATGTTTCTCTCTGTCTTTCCCTCTCTCTCCCACTCTCCCTAAAAATCAATGGAAAAATATTCTCAGGTGAGGATTACAAAAAATAAAAAATATTGTCTTCTTACCTTAAACTCTAAATGAAGACAGTGCCAATGGTTTCACTATGTGCATTGCAGGCAATACCCTGTCCAGGACTTACCAGCGGGGACACATGTGACACGAGGAAGTGGCTTCCTTTCTGGGCTGTTAAGCAATGTGTTGTCCTGGGCTAGGTGGCCCTTTTCTACTTCCTCAAACCCTGGCTGCGTAGGGTTAGGTGGGGGGACGGTGGTTTCGCAACTGCTGCTCTGGGTCAAAGAGAGTAGCTGGGGCGAGAGCTGGCGGGTGGCCGAGCAGCTCCCACAGGCCCTGCCTGTGCGCACACCCTCCAGGGTCTGACTTGCCCAGATTTGAATTTGATTCTTTCAAGGCTTGGCTTTTATCCTGGGCTCAGCAGCTGTCACTGAGGGGGGAGAAGGAGGAAGCCCACTCCCCATCCTACCTCCCCACGAACCTTCCTCTTGTCCCAGGACGGAGTCCCGGGTGAGAGGAAGTCCGCGGCTCTCAGAAACGAGCCTTGCCTAAAACCCATCTCCCTCCGGGGCCGAGAGGAAGACCTGCTTACCCCTGCGTGCCTTCTCCTGAGATTGTCTGTCACACGCAGGAGCCTGGAGGCCTAGGCGCAGGGAATGGGCTTCGTGGTCCAATGAGCCTAGTTCGAATCCTGCTCTCTATTCAGCATTGCAGCGTTTACTTCAACTCTCTGAGGCTGCTCCCTACACTGGCAATGGGGACGCAGGCATTCTGGGGGGACTACACGAGGGCCCTTGGGGACAGTGCTGGTCCGAGCCTCCACCGTTCTGGTGTAGTTTCCCCGGGGGTTGGGGGGGGGGGGTGTTTCTTCTGCTGACTCAGTCCCCATCTCTCATTCATTTTTAAATTTTTTATTAAAAATATATATTTTTATTGATTTCAGAGAGGAAGGGAGAGGGAGAGAGAAACATAAATGATGAGAGAGAGTTATCCATCGGCTGCCTCCTGCAGGCCCCACACTGGGGCTCGAGCCCCAACACAGGCGTGTGCCCTGCCCGGGAGTAGGACGGTGACCTCCTGGCTCACAAGTGGACGCTCAGCCACTGCACCACGCGGGCTGGGACCTCACTCACGTTTTATTCTTTGTGCAGGAAGCTCTTTAACCCCAAATACCCAAGTTCCTCTTCCCTGGAGAGAGAGAGGTAGGAGCTGAGCTCAGCAGGAGGCTGCTGGAGGCGGAGCAGCTGGGCCTCCTGTGGTAGGACCTGCAGCATCAGGCTTCTACATGAATTTGCGGTATTTTAAGTTCCTAGAAGCACACAGGCCTTTGCTAATAGAAAGCAGCCTAAAGATGGAGAGGGTGGGGCTGCCCATAAACAATGAAGAATCCAGCCCTGGCCTGGTTGGCTCAGTGGTTGGAGGGTCAGCCTGCGGACTGAAGGGTTGCGGCTTTGATTCTGGTCAAGGGCACGTACCTGGCTGCAGGTTTGATCCCGAGCACCGGTTGGGGCGCGTGCAGGAGGCAACCGGCCGATGCATCTCTCACATCGACGTTTCTCTCTGTCTCTCCCCCTCTCTTCCACTCTCGCTAAAAATCGATGGGAAATATTCTCGCGTGAGGATCATGAAGAGTCTAGTAGCACCAGAGTTTGGCCGCCGCCGCCGCCAGCCCTGCAGGCTTTCGCTGCTCGCTGCCACCCCACTCTTTTTTCCCTTTGCCTGGTCAGTGTGCTGACATATCAGCATTAACCTTTTTTTAAAAAAAGTTTTTTGTTTTATTTAATTAATTTATTTTAAAATTTATTTTGGTTAATCTTCACCGAGGATGTTTTTCCTTGATTTCTAGAGAGAGTGAAAGGGAGAGGGAGAGACAGAGAGAGAGAGACACCGATGTGAGAGAGACACATCAATTGGTTGCCTCCTGGACCGAGGAACCTGCAACCAAAGTACGTGCTCTTGACCAGAATCGAACCTGGGACCCCTCAGTCCGAGGGCCGATGTGCTATCCACTGAGCCAAATCAGCTAGGGCTACATTAGCCTTTTTTTTTTTTTTAATATATATATATTTTTTATTTTATTGATTTTTTTACAGAGTACAGAGAGGAAGGGAGAAAGACAGTTAGAAACATCGATGAGAGAGAAACATCGATCAGCTGCCTCCCGCACATCTCCCACCGGGGATGTGCCCGCAGCCCAGGCACATGCCCTTGACCGGAATCGAACCTGGGACCCTTCAGTCCGCAGGCCGACGCTCTATCCACTGAGCCAAACCAGTTTTGGCTACATTAGCCTTTAAACACAGAAACACACACTCACACAAACCCCACTGTGTGTGTGTGTGTGTGTGTGTGTGTGTGTGTGCGCGCGGCAGGGGTCAGGCAGCTGCTGAATCAGCTCAGTGACTTAGACCCAAAGCACCATAGGTTGCAAATTCTCTCCCACGACACCAGCGGCCCTCTCACTAGGGATAAACCCAGTTTCCCAGGACGACCGACCAGTCCCAGCCAGTGAGTTTGCAAATGTGGTCTGGTCTTCCGCAAGGGGTCAGGCAGTCGTTACCACTTCTGTAAAACCAACTCGCAAGATGTCTCTTCTCTCTTATAAAGTGAGGGAACTCGCATTTTCTCAGAAAGCAAAGGCCTTCGTGTGAGAGCCACTGTGGCGTGCTGTCGGGAACCTTCGGAGCGCCTGCCTGAGCCCCACCTCGGTGCCTGCGCCTCCTGGAGGCAGGTGCGGTCCTGTCGGCCCGGCCGCCCCTTCCTCTGCTTTCGTGGCAGGAATCTTATTTTTAAAAAATATATGTTTTTATTGATTTCAGAGAGGAAGGGAGAGGGAGAGGGAGAAACATGAATGATGAGAGAGAATCATTGATTGGCTGCCTGCTGCACGCCTCACACTGGGGATCTAGCCCGCAACCTGGGCATATGCCCTTGATGGGAATCAAACCCAGGACCCTTCAGTCCACTGGCTGATGCTCCATCTACTGAGCCACACCAGCCAGGGCCATGGCAGGAATCTTCTGATACAAACACCTGTGTCTTTCCTGCTCCTGTGCCTGTGCTCTTGGTGCCCCTGCCTGGATTGCCCTTCCCTCCTGCTAGCCATCAGCATGCCTTCAGGGGTGGCTGAGTCCTGCCCGCCGGGCCCAGCTCCTGCTCTCACATCTTCTGGATGTTTCTGCTTTCCGGAGTGCATCTTCTCAGGCTCTCTAGTTATTTTTATGGGATGAGGCTGTAATCTCTCACAGAGCTCCTAAGCTCTTGGAGACCTATGTCGGGTCAGCAGGGACCCCTTGGGGACAATCTGTCCTTGAACAGTTCCCAGGGCCGGAGAGGCCCCGCGTGCCCAGGAGCCGCACCTGCTCCCACCTGGACCACCTGTGCGAGGCTGCGTGAGGCCAGGCTGGCGGGGGGGTGCCTTTCTCTGGATGTAAAACAGGCATTTGTTCATGCGCATCTGCTGGGGGACCAGGCCAGGCCCAGCACGGGCTCAGAACTTTAAGACCCTGTCCTCACAGAGCTCAGTCTGCCTGGGAGATGGGAGTGTCAACAAAGAGGGCAGTACTCTCCGCTGGTCGGCACGGGCGCGAGAAATGCCAGGAGCGCCTGTGCCCGTCCTTGGCAATGGGCTGTGCCCCTCGCTCTGTGGGGAGCTTAGGCCTTTGTCTCCCCATCTGGACTGGGAGCTCTCGGGGGTGAGCTGTGGCTCACTCGTTGCTGGGTCTCCAGTTTCTAGCTGGGTGCCTGGCACGTCCGGGGCATTAAATAGATATTTGAGTTTGTTGGACGAGGGACTTGATAAACAAATGCATGAGTGTGCCCAGTGTCACAGGAGCAAAGAGAGAAGAGGTAAGTAGAAGACGGGAAGTTGGTGACTCTGCAGCAGATACTTCAAGGAAAACTAGGAGTTAGTTG